AATCCTTACAATTGTCTCAAATGTTTTTTTTTCTAACAAAAGTTTCATTTATTCAAAGCAATGTCCAAAGTCAGCATGTTGCACTTGGCTGATACATCTCTAAAGTCTCCTTTAATCTGTAACAGTGCTCCCTTCATTTTTTTCTGTGCAAGTTATTTGTTGATAAAGTCAGGTTATTTGTCCTTTAGAATTTTATACATTGTATCTTCATGGTGTCATTTAATAAGCTCTTCAATCCCAATGTTTATAAATTGGTAGTTAGATCTAGAGGCTTGATTATATTCAGATTGAGTTTTTAATTTCTATTTTGGCAAGAATTCTTCCCAGTTAGTGCTGTGTACTTGCTATTACAACACAACAGGAGGTTTATAACATCTTATTTTCTCCTTGTAGTGATTTTTAAGATTGATCACTAGGTTCAGGTGATGTCTGCATCAAACTTTCACCTTAAGGTTTTAGTAACCACTGATAATCACTGCCTAGGTCCATTACTACACTGGGTTTACAAAATGGTGATTTTTCTATCATTCTTCATGTAATTATTAATGGTGATTTTTCTATAAGAATTTTCCTTCAACAACTATTTGAATACCCTGAAATAGCTTGCATAGGAAAGATACAATAATTGCTTCTTTCATATTAGTTTCTAGAATAAAAGGTTGGTGCCATAGCAAGATGAAAAAGTATTTAATATATATTAGTATATAATAGAAATGGGAAGAGAAAATTAAGAGGTAGTATTTTATCTTTTCAAGCTCTATGAACAAATCCTGTGCCAATTTAGGTACAGTCTATTTTTTTTCCACACATGAAAATCCTGAATAGAACAATTTGTTAACAATTCATTAATGCTTCTAGATCAGCAAGTGTCCAAGTCTAAAGAATATTTCTTTTAGGGGTCAACTGAGAGGAAGAGGATTTACACATGCACGTCCCATTAACATTAATAGGAGTTACCAGCATAAATCCCCCTGCAGTGATAGGTGAAAAGACTCTTACAGGCTCCTAGGATTCAAGTTCTAATGATTATCTGTCAAATAGCCCTAAGAATCATCACCACCAGAAAAAGCAAACACGGCAACTTGTATGGGAAGAGCATCTCATTGCAGCCCTACAGCCAAACTATATTAATGGAAAGAAAACTGGCCTTAAAAAATGTGATTGGGGGGGGGAGGCGTCTGGGTGGCTCAGTCGGTTAATCAGCAGAGTCTTGATTTTGGTTCAGATCATGATCTCAGGGTCATGGGATCGTGCCCAGCATCAGGCTGTGCTCAGCATGGAGGAATCTGTTCCTCTCCTTCTGCTGCTCCCCTTGTCCTATCTATCTCTTATATAAAATCTTTTAAAAAAATGTGACATGGGATGCTAAGGGTTAAACCATTTAACATTTTATTTAATTTTTTTAATGATTTCATTTATTTCTTTGACAGAAAGAGAGCACAAGCAGGGGGAGCTGCAGAGGGAGAGGAAGACGCAGGCTCCCCGCTGAGCAGGGAGCCTGATGTGAGGCTCGATTTCAGGACTCTGGGATCATGACCTGAGCTGAAGGCAGACGCTTAACCAACTGAGCCCCCCAGGGGCCCCTAACTTTTTAAAAAAGCCACCATACAGTACATCATTAGTTTTTGACATAGTGTTCCATGATTCATTGTTTGCATATGGTGACTAAAATATAAAATTTAAAAAAGAACTAAAGCATAAACAGATGCTAGTAAAATATAAAAAAAAATAAAAAATAAAAAAGCCATCATTAAAGAGAATTCAAACATCAAATCACTTGTTTAAAAAAAAAAAAGTGTGAATACTGTATGAGCTCCAAGGTGTTTGAAGGATAATACAGCTATTTGTTTAAAAATTCAATTAACCTTATTTTCCCAAATTTGATTTATGAATAATCTCACAAATTGTCAGTTTTGAAGGAGTCCTGTTATCTTCTGAATGCATTCTGAGAAGCTTTAGGAAACTACCTGGAATTGACAGAAAATGTCACTCTGCTTTAATTATTTGATCCAAGAGCAAATCAGAGTTCAATGAATGATTTCTGTACACGAGGAACACCAGCAGTCTCTTATTTATTTCAAGTAAATTGTTGTGGACTCAACCACCAAAGAGAAAAACATTTCAGGTTCTCATTCAACAAATATGAAAAACATTTCATATTCTCATATACTAAGTGAGATGTGAAAACAGTTTGTAGGCAATGTACTATAAAGCCATAGCCCATGCCTCAAGTACCAATTTCAAACAGAATGAGATCTGATGCTGGCTTCTAGAACAATTTGCTAAGTAAATCAACCCAGGTATCATTTGATTTTGCCTTTCTCACAAACCTGACAAAGTTGACAAGTGCTTAGAAACAAAACCAAGTATACAGCTGGACAATTGTCTAAATAATAGACTGATATCAACAAATCAGTTCCAAGACAATCTTTAATTTCTTGGTATATATGCAAAGTTTTAATAGTAAAAAATAGGAAACCACACTTGAAAGGCATCACTTTTATTTCTTCTGAAAATGTACTGCTACAGTGTGAAAATTATGAATAATCATACTTATGCCTTTGAAGTGCATATAAGAAAATTAACCTAGAGATAAATTATTCAATATCAATGCAGTAAATGACTTATAAATATAAGAAAATATTTAATTCCTGCTTTAAAGCATCAATACTACTTACTGATCAAATTTCAACAACATTTTTTGAGGTCTTTGGGACTTTAGACAAAGGGCTGCCTTTTGGGGAACTATAGGTATGACAGAAGTTATAATCATTACCATGGTCATTATTTTAAATAAAAGGCTGCTAATCTCAGAAACTACCATTCTAGAAGTTAACCATTAACATGGCCATTTTACTATGGGTAACTAAATATCATCAGAGATGGGGAAAATTTTAACTCAGTTTTTCTATAGAAAAATGCCTACATTTATAATATCTACCTACCTACCTATTTGCTTTTCTGGGCAGGCATGCCAACTAGATAAAGACACAGTAGCAACACAGGGTAACTGGTTTTCATGTAGATCACTAAACTGAATGTTATCATTTTTGGTTAATAAGCAGCATGTATAACTAAACATTTTAAACATATGAATCAAGATTCTTTGATGACAATATTCAAAATTTTAAATTAGCTACTGAGATTTCTGTATCACATATAACATATTAACTTTATTCATATAACTTCAGGCTTATGGTTTTACAACAAAACCAAAAGGTTTTTCCTTTTTTGGCTTAAAACTATGAAAAAAGATTTATTTGCAGTAATTAAGATAGCTGAAAAGAAAGCTCTTAGAATAATTTCTATTATATTCTGAGGCAACAAGAAATATCTAAAGTTCTCTACCACAAAGTTTTTAACAGTTGTGTAATATTTTAATCACCATTAATCATATTCAGGAGCTTTTAAACACTTAAATAGTATTTAATAAATAACCCGGAAGAGAGATTATGATGCTGGCTAATGGATAAAATAAGGTACAATATGGGTTGGGCCATGAGACCACAGAGCATCTCCTTCCTTGTCTACATATAGATAGCTGCAGTAAAGCTATCATAGTCTTTCTAGTTATTATTCTGGCCTACCCTGATTGGTTGCTTTCATAAATGTGTATGCTGCATTCAAAAGGCCTTAACTCTTAAGACTATAACAAAGTACAATATCTTAATTGGTGCAACTTACTGCAATTGTATTCAGACTCAATACTTTCATATAGTGGAACCTTGTATATTGCTTGTATTGAGGGGCAGGGAAAATACCTGGTGCTTCAAGGTAGGTATTGTGCATTTAGCACATGGCACAGTTGGGTTTCAGGAAACATGATTTGACTTAAGATCTGAATCTATATAGCAAAATGGATTATAATGTGATTCTGCTATCCCTAATTTGTAGGACATTATAAAACGGGAAGAGAGGGAGAGGGCCAAAGAGATAGGAGATGGGGTGTACAATGGCAGAGGAGTTAGGAGCAGCCTGAGAGGCTGGGAAGGTTTTCCTTCCATCTGGATTCAGCTATATCCACAAGGGATTGGAAAGGTGAGGCAAGAGCTACATTCCTTGTTTCTTTCCATTTTCTATGAATCTGTGACCTGACAGAACTAGCCTCCTTTAAGATCTCTGAAATCTGGAGAGGTCATAGCCTCACAGCAACTATGTGCTTTCTACTGTAGCAATGGCTCTCTCATTGGTAATGTAGGCCAGAATGCACAATAAACTTTTTATATATTTAATTATTGAAATAAATCCAAAGTATTGCTCAAATAGAGCAAACCATCAGAACTTGGCATCCGGAAAAATTTTAACAGTCACTGTCACTGTAACTAGATTTGCTGGCTACGTATAGCCCCAACATTTTTATGTTAAGTGTATATTAAGGTTTACTAATGGTCATACTGTATTCAGAGTCCTTAGTGGTTCAGGTTTACCTAGCAGAAGAGGAATATGAAGAATTTAGAGTGCTTTCCTTACTAATATTCAAAACCACAATTCCATGTTACTATGCTTACTGGTCTACAAGACTATAAAATACTCATTTAGGAAACAGATTTTTTTTTTTTTTTGGCTTAGTTGCAATAAAAACACTGTGATCTATTGTGTTGGGGGGAGTTGACAGCAAACAATTATTTGCTGCAAGAGATTTTTGATATTCACCTCCAAGTCAAGGGGAAAACAACTTTTTTTCCCCCCAGAACTACCATTCTAAGGATTGAACTGCATTTATCTTCAAAATTATTCTCCTACAGTAGGCAACATGTTACTCTTTCTACCTTACATATGGAGAAAGTGAGGCCTATTAAGTTAAAGAATTTGTCTAATATCATCAATAGTATAGCTAGAACTAAATTGGGTCCATACACAATTAGGCTTTAGTTACCTGACCAGACAGATTTCCACATACTGATGAGCATATCCAAATCTTTCCTTCCATTTCTTCAGTCCTATAAGCTTTCCTAGTGTGTAAATGATTCACATACAAATATCACTACTAACAAAAAATGTTGAGTAATGGATTCATGGTTTATTTGTAAAAATGTATACTTTAATATTGGCATTTTTAAGAGTTCTCAAGATAGAAAACAAACCAAACCTCTATTCCAAACACAGGCTCCTGCCTCGATCATGATACTTTAGCTTTCCTCAACTACATTTACATGTGCTTTTATCATTGGTGTCATCATGCCCATACCCATGAAGAAAATAGAATTAAAATAATCAAAGGGAATATGTGATCTGATTCTGAAGATGTGGCTTTCAAAGATCCAAAGTGGTAAGCAAAAGCTTTCTGAATATGACAGAATTATTAACAATGCATAGGTACACTTTCATATCCATAGCTACTATACTCCTGGGAACCCATCCATTTATATTTATCTGCTAATTCTACAGGTTTGGTAACTTAAAGCAGGCAAGCCAATGTGCTTTAAAGTGTTTTGTGTTCTTACAATGTCCTCTTTAAGGAAAATCCCCTTTTGGATTTCTATGACCTGCTTCTCTCGGTAATTATGCCAACTGGCTGCTGTTTTCTAACATTTTTCAAACAGTTCTTCCATGAAGAAGACTCTGAGGCCAGGAGGGATTTCCAAAGTGGGATATTCAGTTTGGCATATGTCCATTACTGAGAGGCCTCCTCTGGGTTTCCCAGGCTTGTGCTTTCCTTGGGAGTCTCTGAGTTAGCTTCTGGTATGACACTGAATTCAGAAGTCTCTGATTGTAAACTGTCCCCATCAATGATAATGTCTTCAGGATTTGGTGGGGGTGGACAGAAGTCTTCATTGGGGCAGATTAGCTGGAAAAGTGTTTCAGCCTGGCAAGGGAAGAAAGGACAAAATAGTTTTTGGATATCAGCTTAAAATGTATATGCCTTTCTGAAATTATTTAAAAAATGAAGTATCACCCTTGAAAATTTCTTCAAGTTATAGACCTTTATCAAGTATACATGACCTTCTAAAAATCTGCTTTCAGAATTCCGTGACTTCTCTCCAATTCTATGCATGCATTCAGGCCCACTATTATCAGTACTTGATCAGATTATCAAGTGTTAGATAGCTGAGAGTTTAAGGACATTCATTCTACACATCGGTAGAAATACAATTTCCTTTAATATTCTTTATGTAAATTCCCAATAGAGTCTATTTGTGATAGCTGTACAATTAAACTTGGCATAAAATAATCTTAACAAGGGCGCCTGGGTGGCTCAGTTGGTTAAGTGACTGCCTTTGGCTCAGGTCATGATCCTGGAGTCCCGGGATCGAGTCCCACATCGGGATCCCTGCTCAGCAGGGAGTCTGCTTCTCCCTCTGACCCTCCCCCCTCTCATGCTATCTCATTCTCTCAAATAAATAAAATAAAAAAATAAAATAATTTTAACAAGTCATTATTAAAATCAAGAAAATTCTTATTTGTTCAACTATTTGCTTTTCTGGTATAATTTAACTCCCCCCCGCCCCGGGCTTTAAGGAGTATAACATGGTGTTCAAGATGACGGACTCTGAATAGAAGGCCATGTGTAAATGCTGGCTCTGCCAATTAGTAGCAATGCAATTTGGGGGAATGCTTAATAAACTTTTGAGCCTTGCTTTCCTTGTCTATGAAATGGCAGACTAAGCCTCTATATATGGTAGCTGTTATCTCTGTTAATAAGTTAAAAAGTCAAGATTTTATTTTTAAAGATTTTATTTGAGAGAGACAGAGACAGAGAGAGAAAGAGACTGCGCACACATGTGAGTGCAAGCGGGGGGCGGGGGGAGGAGCAGGGGCCAGAAGAGGGAGAGAATCTCCAGCAGACTCCACCAACATTGGCCAATGCGGGCCTATGTGGGGGCTTGACCTCGTGGACCTGAGCCGAAACCAAGTCAAACGCTTAACCAACTGAGCCACCCAGGAGCCCCAGAATGTCAAGATCGAAGCTGAGCTTAGTCTGGCAGGGTAAGAGAATAAGAAACTGAATGTGATTTTAATGAACACACACGCACGCATGCACACACACACATACACACACAAAAGCAAATGTTAACAAGAAACATTGCTATTCTATTCTAAATATATCCTTACTTTTATTTAGATGAATACAGCTCATTGTTAGATAAGTGTCTTTGACATACTAGGGAGCTTGCACTCTATCCTATTGGTAAACAAAAGTCATTAAACCGTTTTAAGGTATATGCTTGTTTTAAAGGCAACGTCTTTCTGTACCACTTTAATCCTTCTTTCTGACATGCACACATAGTCATCCCTTAGGCCAGGTGTTGACAACTATGGTCCACAGGCCAAATCCAGCCTGCTATTCTTGTAAATAAGGTTTTATTGGAACACAGCCACTCTCATTCATTTAACTATTTTCTGTGGCTGCTTTTCCACTACAATGGCAGGGTTGAGTAGCTGCAGAAGAGACGACAGGAGCTGCAAAATCTAAACTATTTACCATCTGGCCATCTAATGTTGGTAGACTCAGGTGGTTGGTCCATGGGGGGATTAAAAGTGACATTCCTTGGGAGTGGGTGGAGGGATACTAAACAGAAACTTTTGAGCTCTGATGTGAAGTTGAAAGAAGGGACAGAGAAAAATACTTTCCCTCTTCAGTATAAAGGGTATATTTTTTGGACATGCCATTTTACTGTGACTGTTTTGAAACTAAATATTTGAGATGCCTACTTTACTCTCCACCCCAGGAACTCACCACAGGTCTTTGCTGGAGAAACTTAGCTCTTAGAAGCAGGAGGACTGAGGTCAAAGCCTCTATCTCATCCTTTAGTTCCTCTTTTTGTCTTTTATCTCAACCTTGTCTGCCTATAGAAGTTCTCCCTCCCTCTTACTTCCTTTCACTCTCAGGAAGCAATCAATGGCCAAATCCTGACAATCTTATCTCTTAGTTCTTGACTCCCTTTTTTTTTCCTTCCCTATAGATATAGCCCAGGCATACATCATCTTTCCCTTAGATAACTGCAACATCTCAGAACTGGTCACCTTGCCTCTAGGTTTACCCCATGTAATCCATTTCCATGCTGCCTTCAGAAGGGGTCTATGGAAATGAAATTCTGGTTATGCCACTCTCTGGCTTAAAACTCTTCATTGACTCCCCATTTCTTAAAAGGATAAAAATCCAAGATCTTTGCTATGGCATACAAAACCCTACAAGCCTATTTCTCTGGTCTTATCATTTACTCCATCCCATCTTCAACTTTCAGACTTTTTGCTTCACTAATACCTATTTATGTGCACTTTCTTAAACACGTCATGATGTTTCTATCATGGATTGGTGCAGATGCTGGAATGTTTCAATTATCTTCCATTTGTATGGGGAATTGCTACTCATCTTTTATATTCCTCTCTGCAAAGTTCTCTGACTCCTAAATAGACCTCATGGCTCCTTTGTATTATTTTTGAACTTTGTACATTATTCTATTATTGCATATACTGTACTGCACTGTCATTTGTTTACATGTTCTCCTTTACTAGACAGTGATTCCTTCAGGGATGACAAGGACTGAAGGAATCAACTCTGGATCCTTAGTTCCTGGTATGGAGTAGTATTCCAATATACATTTTTTAAAAAATGAACTAAAGAACTTTTAAAACTGTATATTGTAGAAATGCTGAACATAAATATAATAATTATTATTACTACTTTACTTCTATTCCAGTTCCTCTGTGTCTCACACCTTCTCTCCCTTCTGTTACCTACCTGTAGGATACATTTTCCTCTGGATCTCAGTCCCTGTGGCTGATTCCACACTCTGTTTCCATATATCCTTGTCATAATCTGTCTCCTAGGACTGCTAACCAATTGCAGGCTGCTGCACCACCCTTATTTGTTTTCTACCTGCTTGTGGAACTCTCACCATCAGCCCATCTGCCATTGGCCCTCACTGATGCCAATTTCCTACAGCCAGTCTCCAAAACCCTTCCCATCTCCTCTCTCTTACTGCTGGAACCTTTTAAGGTCAACTGCCATGCTCTGGAAGGTCTATCTAATATTTCTTGGTCTGTTGTATTTCATTTGTCAACTAAGCCTCAATTGTGAGAGCTGTCAGAAGTAGAGGTTAGTTGAGAGGAGTTATTAACTTTTAATCCTTTTTGCTCCCCCTCCCCACCTTTTTTAGAGAGAGAGAAAACATGAGCGGGGAGGGGTAGAGTGAGAGGGAGAGAATCACAAGCAGGCTTCATGCTCAGCATGGAGCATGATTCTGAGATCATGACCTGAGCTGAAATCAAGAGTCAGAGGCTCAACCGACTGAACCATCCGGGCACCCCAATCCTTCTTGCCCTTTTAAACCAAAAGCTAGCTTAAAGAGTAGAGTTTCGTGTAGTTAAAAAAATTAAAAAGGCATAATTATATTGTGACTTGGTTTCTTTATATTGAGAAGTATAGAGAGGACACACTGAGTTACTGAAGACATTCCCATGTTTATTTAACATACATCTAGACAAAACAAAAAAAATATTTTGTCAATCTAGCAGTTTAATATATTTAGGATGTATCCACATTAACAAGAGGAAAGTAGCACAGCACAGTAGATGACTGTATAAGCACTAGGGTCCAACAGATCTGAGTTAAAGTTCTGGCTCACAAATTTACCAGATCTATGATCTTTGGACAAGTTATTTAGCCCCTCTGGGTCTTAGTTTCCTCATCTTGGGCATGTCACAGATACTTACCTCATAGGGTTCTGAGGACCAAATGAAATAATATACATGTGATGTTTAGGATATTGTCTGGTACACAGAAAATGCTCAGTGAATGGTAGCTTTAGAAAATGTGACACCTAAAATTTCCCTCTCCTTCAATGGCATGAGAAAGTGAACGATACTGCAATATGTGAGCAACATGATAGGTCATATGATCTATAAAACTAGTCTTCAACTTACAAATTCTGTACCAAAAGTCATAAACATATTGCTAATATGCCATAAAGACAACATTCTAAATGGTGGTAAGGCTGCCCCCATCAGCCAATTTAAACCATTTTACACCTGAAATATAATACAAAGAGTACATTACTATGGTAGTGGCACCTCCTAGGAGATGGGGGCTCCTGAAGGAGGAGTGAGCTATCAATGATCTTGGGAGTAGAGAACTATAGACCAGTCTGTTCATCAGTATGTGTGGGTAAATGAGACACTACCTGTATTAAGAAAAGAGATATCATATGTCAGTTTCAGAAAAAAAAGAAAAAAATTAAGTAACAAACTATAAATACCAGTAAGTCACAGAATCACAATTTTCACTTAGGCTACTTATGCTAGCATCACTGTGGTGATAATAATGTCTTGGTGTGCTCCTCCTGCACACAACTTTATCTTGTATTAAACACAGACCACTTTATATTTTTTAGTATGTTTTCAAATCACATGGATTGGTGCAGATGATGGAATGTTTCAATTATGTGTTCCATATGAACACAAGGGAGACAGGTCTATGCTATGCAACATCTATACGTTTACAAATAGGAAAAGCAAATGCAAACTTGCTAACTGCTAAAATAAAGCATTTGTGAAAAAAAAAGAAGTCTGCGGGTGCTTATGTTTACTACATAGACAAAGCCTAGGTGATGCTCTAAGAGCTTTTATCGACAATTTGGAAAACAGAAGTTATCAATTAGTGACTAGGCTGAACATAGGATGAAATACTGGAATTAGAACACAAGTTTATTTAAATACACTGGCTATTTGTAAATATTATTACCGATGCCCTTCAAAATAGGTATTATTTCTCCCCAAACTGATGTGAGGTTTAAAGCTATATAACAATTTAAAACTACTCACATTTACTAGTATACAATTAGTACCAAAAGTAGCATTATTATTGTTTTATACTAGGATTAAACACTAAAATCTATCTTCTTGGGAGCAAATTACCTCATAACAAAATTATCCTTTAATTATAATCTTCTAGCTGTTTGTTAAGATCACATTAGCATTTGTATAATAAGCCCTTATGTAAAAGGCCTTCCCATTTTGGTTAAAAAAAACATTACAGTCCACTCAGGAATAAAAATTACCTAAGCTAGGGACACCTGGGTGGCTCAGTCAGTTAAGCATCCTACTCTTGATTTCAGCTCAGGTCATGATCTCAGAGTCAGGAGATGGAGCCCTGCCATCAGGCTCTGTGCTCAGTGGGGAGTCTGCTTCTCTCCCTCTCTCTCTGCCCCTCTGCACACATGCTCTCTAAAATTAATAAATACATCTTTTTAGAAAAATGACCTAAGCTATCTGCCTGAAAACATGTTGGTGATTCTGCTTGGAAAAAAATGGATCATCAAAGCAAAAATGCCTTGGTCATTTTAAGCCACAAATGTGGAACTTGAACCATCTTAGGTTCCTATTAAACTAACAGAATGAATGATGGGTGACTTCCCACTTCTGATATCACTGATTGAATAGGATTATCAAGGATCACCACTAGACTCTGAAGAGAGAAACAAAGAATGTGGCAAAAAAAACTATAGATACATGGGGTCATGGCCTTTCCACTATGATTAAAAATTAAAGGGTCAATGAGGCCATTTGCTCCTATGAGATCCCTGCCACTAGTTGGACTGAAACTTCCATCTGTGGTCTTAATGTTAAATTATCCACTTGCTGATTCAATAGACAGATATGCCAACTGTATCTGTGAAAAAAAATATATTTTATGTTCTCTTCCTGTCAGGTACAGAGAAGTATATTTATATATACAAATGGATCTTCATCTGAATGGAATCATAGTTCACTTTTGTCAGCTTGTGTTGGCTTACGCTGTACCAGTTCATAGCCCTGCCCAGAAGTGCTGTCACAAAATTCCACCTTGATTTAACATATTCCTCAGCAGCTATGACAGTAACTTTTGGGACACCAGCTTGTGTCAAAACATTAAAGGAATCATGTTAACTCTGAAAAACGGTAAGTTACATATTCTTTTCCAAAATAAGAAAATGTTTTAAGATCAATTAAAAATTATATTTTGTATGTGATTAGTTACTTGGTTACACTCCTTTTAAAATGACTCAGAGGTTAACAAAGAAAAATGGTTAGTATATTTCAAAATAATAAAACAACAGGCCTACAGTTTAAATTAGAAGGAGGGCATGTACTGCATGGAGCACTGGGTGTTATATGAAAACAATAAATTGTGGATCACTACATCAAAAACTAATGATGTACTCTATGGTGACTAACATAATAAAATAAAATAAAATTTAAAAAAAAGCAATGTTTCTTTAGAAAACTGGCGTAACTTTAATTTTTCAGAATGTGTATTTCTAACATCTTCCATCCTTATTCCCACAATGGAACTCATAAATGCTCTCTTGCAAATTCATCATTATAGTCAAGAATGTGAAAATATTGGATACTATATTTAAAGTATATTTAAAGAAGTTTGGTCATTTATAGGAAAAAGCTTGGGGGCAAGTTATAGAGATGGTGTTAAATGACAGAGACACTTTTCTAGTCTTTTTTCCCACATCCCAGAGGAAAAAAACAATTCACTTTCCCAACCACACCAACTTTTTAACAGAAAATGAGAAACACGAACAGCTTACCTGTTTGACTGCATTATCATTTCCTAAACCACAGTCTGGACCAGAGCAGACATAAACGTTGGAAGGTAAATCATTATAAGAGTTCCTGCTGACATCTGAAGAATCTCTCATATTGAAGTAAAGAGCCCACAGAAGTCTTGGTTTTTCAACTTCTTCATTTTCTAAATGTAGGCATAAATTTTACTTACATCTATAGCACAATAAGCCTGTCAATTAATACAATACATAGCCAATTACTAACAAAGCCATGATTATATAGTGTAGTAAATCAGAGCTTTGTATGTAAAAAACAGTAAATCTTTATCCACACACTCTAATACATGTATATATTTCAAGCAGTGATGGCTTTTCAACCTAAGACAAGTTAGATTTTAAAAATTATTTTGATTACAAGTTACTTAGATGTAAGTCCAATTGTGTTCTCTTGGATTTCTATTATTTCTCCACAGCAGTATCAAAGCATTTCTGAACACATTCATCCTTAAATTATGCCACTGAAGATAACAAATTTTTTTATGTTTCACATAAACAAACTAACTTGAAAAAATTATTAAGTCAATGATCTATACAGGATTATGAGATGTCTAGAAGACATCTATAGAGACAGGAAGTAGATTAGTGGTTACTTAGGGCTGGGGGAACTGGGGTGAGGGATGACTGTTACCAGGTGTGGGGTTTCTATTTTGGGTGATGGAAATATTCTAGAACTTACTGTGGTGATGTTTGAACCATTTGGTGAATATATTAAAAAACATTGAATTTTACACTTTAGGTGGATGAACTGTATAGTACCGTGGATTATATCTCAATAAAGCAGTTATTAAAAATATATATCCAGGATTAACACATTGATACCATAACTCACTAACACTTTGTCCTACTGGATTATAAAAGTCATGGCAACCAACAACAAAAATAAGGTTGTGAGACTTAAAGTTGTTTTAGCACATATTCTCTCATTTAACAGTGAGCATCTATTATGTGTGGTAGGCTTGGGCTAGGAGACAGAGATGCACAGATAAAGAAGAGTTAGTCCTTAGTCTCCTGATTTTTCATGTTCCCTAATACAGAGAGGGCCTAGCACACAACAGACATTCAATGAACAATTTCTATATTGATTTTCATCCTGTTTTCAGGTATAATCAAAGTATGATGTGCTTATTAAAAGGTTCTACCTTATTAATACCTAAAAACTATTCTTTGCAATCTTAATAATTATTTCCTTGCCACTCTTCCTTAGAAATGTTATTAAATTTTCTTTGCTTGAAAACACAAAATATTGCTGTTAATATATTTATTGACTACAGAATTTTCTTTAGCCTGAATCTGAACAAAAATTCAAATTCTGTATAATGGTAACAATAGATGTATATTAAGATTACTCAAGACCATGCAGTACCTTGTGAATCATAAAGAAAATACAAAAGGTATAATTAATTAATTAGCTCTTATTGTTAAATTGGTAATTAATGTAGCGAAATTCACAGCTAATTGCAGCATTCAATTAATAAGAATGCCCAATTCCTCAATTCAGGATAAACAGGATTTTGTTATATTTAAAATATCTCCACTACAAGAATACCAAACATGTTATTTTTCTAGTTCATTTTGAATAATCCATAATTATTAGTGTGACAGGATAAAGAAACTCTGAATGGAAGAAGTGATTCCTTATGATGTCCCTTCCTAATGCTAAGATATATTGAATCTAAGGTATCACTAACTTCATGTAAACACATGAAAGATGGTGAAACCTATTTACTGACAAAATAAAGGAACTTAAGGAACTCATATTTCACAGCTAAAACCATATGGCTCTTAGTAAATTTATTGGTTTTAAGTTTAGTTTCACTAAATCTTATGGGAAGACAATTAAACATACCGCCTATGATTTGCAACACCAGACTCCAGGAGCACTGCAGAAAGAAAAGTGGGCTAAGGTCTGGAATTTCCTTTAATATTGCCCAGTCCATTTCTAAGCATACATTAAGAGAGTTTATCTTGTATTTCATGAAAGTTCCAGCTCAAAGGAGGGCTTTCACTCAAAAGAAGTTGGGAAAAATGAATAATCCAATAGATTATAGGAAAGAAATTTCATAGAGGTTGAAGCATTGAGAAGGAACCATGAGAGAGATGAAAAGTTGACATAGGCTGAAGATAAATGCTCTAGATAGAAGAGAGTTATCAGGCTTTGACCTTAAAACCCTCAAAAAGACATATAATTGCTTCATCTTTCTTTGAGGTCAGCTGGAAGGCAGAGAGATAGTTGAAAACATAACATGCAGTTGTGAACTACACAGTTGTCAAAGAAATATTAAAGCTGCTGAGGTTTGGCTAGGAATACATCACCTAACCAGGAACAAAACTGGTTTTCTGTAATAGCTCATTTCATCAGTTAGATAATGTAAAGGACTGAACAAGTGAAAGGTAATTTAGAATAAGACCTTAGGCAAATTAAACTGAGATAAGTACAAAATAAGGTAGGCAGAAAAAAAAATCAACAATGGCATACCAAATACAAGCAATAAATGGTCTACAGTTACATGCCATATTTAGGAATAGACTATTTTAGCAACACAGCAGAGGAGTGTGAGGACAAGAGTGTAAGAGACTGTCACAGCTGTGACCTACTCTGGATACAACAAATACAAAAAGGAATTAAGATAAGGCATTTGACTTCTGAGCCCAACAATTACCTAACATCCTTATCAGCCACGGACCTCAAAATAACACCTGTAAGGGTAATTTTTGTTTTTAGGTAGTTTTGTTTTTTTGAGATAGGACATGAGTGAGATGGGATGAGATAATTCCACATGCCATGCACAATCAAGGGAAAAAGAGAACATGGTGCAGTAATGATACTACACTGTAGACATTTCAATATATAGTACTAATGAAATTCTTGTTTCAATTCATATAGAAAAATCACAACTTCCTGGGTAAAATAGGAAACCACTGAGGATAGTTATACCATTGCTCACTCAGTCCTTTGAAGGGTATTCTGAAGTCTGGAAGAACTAATCCAGACTGGTATGAATGGTTAGCAATCACCTAATTTTCTTACCTATACAATCAGGTTCATTAGACATAATAACACCTGAAAATTCTTTGGACAAGGAAATAGGGAAGGGTTTAGAGATCTCTGATGTTCTTAAAGGAGGCTAGGGGGTTTAGAGATCTTTGATGTTCTTAAAGGAGGCTGGGAGGTAGGGCTCTTGGAAGTATTGGTACAATTGCGTCTTAAGACAGTATATGTCAAGAGCTCCAGCTGATACCTTAAATGTGAAAAAGTAAGAAGGAATAGAGGGAATACCATTCACAAACCTACTGAAATTTCTTAGATACATCAGCAAAGAAGTACAGTATTTGAGAAGAGAACATGATCTTTTACAATAAATAAACTTCCTTGCAAGGTAACTAGGCTGACTTTCACAAAGGCTTATGAAGCACAGCACTAAACAGAATGTAGAACTCTAAAAGAAAAAATAAGCTCAAGTAATGTTATTCCTTTGGCACACATTTTAAAACAAACATTAGGAGAAGGAAGGGAAAAATGAAGGGGGGAAATCGGAGGGGGAGATGAACCATGAGAGACTATGGACTCCGAGAAACAAATTGAGGGTTTTAGAGGGGAGGGGGGCGGGGGGATGGGTTAGCTGGTGATGAGTATTAAGGAGGGGCATGTACTGCATGGAGCACTGGGTGTTATATGGAAACAATGAATCATGGATCACTACATCAAAAACTAATGATGTATTGTATGGTGACTAACATAACATAATAAAATTAAAAAAAATAAAACTATTTACAATGCTCTAAAGCATAAGATTTCATATCACTATCAAGTAATTAAAACATAATAATAAAAGCCACTAATCTGTGAAAATAGGTGCTTTTGCTACAGAGAAGAATGTGCTTTAATGCACTAAAAGTTGATACTGCTCATAAAGTTCTTTCTCATTTAGGCAGGAAAATGAATTGAGCTCTCTTCTCCAGGTGACTTTGCCTCTTTGACCTGCCATGGCCCAGTGCTCACTTTATCTGGTGATTCATTTTCAATAACTCCAACAGTATTTGTTCTGACATTTTAATTAAAATATGACCACTGCCTCATCCTGATGATAAAAAGGCCTATGTGTCAGTGAAAACTAGCTTTTTAGTGCCTCAGTGCACCTGAGGACCCCTCTGAGCACATAGTTCTTACTAAAGAATTTCACTCAGGTTCTAAACAATACATCATTTCAAAATGGGATCACTTTAACCATTAAGATTAATGTTTAAAAATCTAAAATGACTAGAGGATGCTAAATAATGAATATGTAATTTCCTCAGCTTTTTCTTTTAAAAGAAAATTAAATGCATTTAAAACATGAAGAACAATGATACAAGATTCAAATTTAGTGTATTATAGGGACTATCACAAAATGAAATTAAAACAAAAAATTATTAAAAATTTCAGAAACAAGGAAAAAATTCAGTTTTTAAAAGCAAGGTAATCAAAGCCAAGGATAAAACTATGATTCCATATTAGGTTTAAGAATATTCTCAGGTATCAAAACTTCGCAATCAAATTTTTAACAAAAATTCAAACACATATATGAGACTTTCCAATGAATAAAATGTAAATATGAAACAAACTAAATTCCAAACTAAAGTGAAATAAAGTTTCAGATTTCAGGATTTTATTCACGTAGCTGAAAAAAAAAACTAATTATACTGGTATTAGTTCTTAAAACGGAGTTTTCTTATGTAAATATAAATGTCCCACTACATACTATCTCTGCATTAAGAAAACAAATAAGACACATAGGAGATGAACTAAAAGAAAATACAACAGGTAGGAGTAAATAAATGGTTGCCTGAACAAACATAACATTCAAAGGAAATAAAGATATATGACTCAGTGAGGAAACTGGTCATGATTCAAGTGGACATGCAAATCCTAAAATGAAAATCATCCTTGCTTCATATAAATGTATAATATCCATTAGGCTACTTTTTGATCACTTACACCCTAATACACTACAATTTACTCCATTCATAGCTATAAGAGCTCCCCTATGAGGAGAAAAATTTAAAAATTTGTGGTTGAAAAACATTTTTCCACCATGAATAAGTAGCATAGTGGCACATATATTTTGAGAGCTAAATATTTATCACATCACTAGCAAGCTACACATTAAAGGACAATTAGGAGGGATTCTGACATTTGTCAATTAATACTGTAATATTATCTCAGCTTTCTTTTAAATAAAGATAACTTTTTCTGATAAAGGTATACTCTCTGTATAATATCTGTAAAATGAAGAAAATTAAAAGGAAAAAAATAAAAGTTGTCCATAATTCCACCAAAACTGAGAGATTTACAGGCAGTCTTTTTCCTATGCATGTGAGTATGTATGCATATAAATGTATATTTTTTGCACCTAATTATACATGTTGTGTGTGAAACGTATTTTTCCTTTACCATTACAGAGTGAACATTTGCCCATTTTTAGGAAGAGAATGTGCTCCTTCATGCTACTAAAACGTGTAATACATCACATTTCAGTCCAGGTTGCAGAAACCTTCACGAGATACCTAAGAGGAGTAAAGTTGTTATATTACCTTTTCATCATGAATCGCTGATTATTATTCTTACCTATCTCCGTTTCAGTATATGGAGTAAACAATTTCTGCACAACTGGTTCTAAATCTTCTCTTGCTGTTTTAGAAGATGTACAAGTCAAATGAACCAAATCTGTTTAAAAAAAAAAATATCTTGAGTTCCTATTACACACATTTGGCACTAAACTGGTGCCAGGGGAAACAGAGACCTAAGCAAGTCATGGCTCCTGCCTTTAAGGAATTTATAATCTAGTGATGGAACATGTAGAAACCATAACAATATGCTGTATGTGTTAATAGCTAAAATATGTGTTAACTAATAAAGAGCACACTAAGACACAAGAGGAAGTAGCAGTTGGTGGTTCATTTTATAAAACTAGCAGAGTAGAAAAGCTTAGGAAACCACTTATTCATAGAAAGAGCTAAACTTATCCTTATAACATTCCCAAAGAGGCTGGATAAAGGAAGAGGCTGGATAAAGGATTGCTAAGCAAAGTAGAAGTATGTAAAAAAGAATGAAATGGAGTATTTACCTAGAGAACACACTTCATATTCTTCAGATGGAAGAATCCATTTATATAAACTTTACTGATAAGTTAACATATCTATTCATTATAGGGTTTTCTTTTTTCTTTAAATTTTTTATTGTTATGTTAATCACCATACATCATTAGTTTTGTTTTTTTTTAAGATTTTATTTATTTGACAGAGAGAGAGACAGCGAGAGAAGGAACACAAGCAGGGGGAGTGGGAGAGGAAGAAGCAGGCTTCCCGCCGAGCAGGGAGCCCGATATGGGGCTTGATCCCAGGACCCTGAGATCATGACCTGAGCCGAAAGCAGACGCTTAACGACTGAGCCACCCAGGCGCCCCCATCATTAGTTTTTGATGTAGTGTTCCATGATTCATTGTTTATCTATAACACCCAGTGCTCCACACAGAACGTGCCCTCTTTAATACCCATCACCAGGCTAACCCATCCCCCCACCCCCTCCCCTCTAGAACCCTCAGTTTGTTTTTCAGAGTCCATCGTCTCTCATGGTTCATCTCCCCCACCGATTTCCCCCCCTTCATTCTTACCCTTTCTTTCTTTTTCTTAACATATATTGCATTATTTGTTTCAGAGGTACAGATCTGTGATTCAACAGTCTTGCACAATTCACAGCGCTCACCATAGCACATACCCTCCCCAATGTCTATCACCCAGACACCCATCCCTCCCACCCCACCCCCACTCCAGCAATCCTCAGTTTGTTTCCTGAGATTAAGAATCCCTCATATCAGTGAGGTCATATGATACATGTCTTTCTTTGATTGACTTATTTCACTCAGCCTAACACCCTCCAGTTCCATCCACGTAGTTGTAAATGGCAAGATCTCATTCCTTTTGATGGCTGCATATCAAAACCTCAATGAGATACCACCTCCCACCAGTCAGAATGGCTAAAATTAACAAGTCAGGAAACAACAGATGTTGGTGGGGATGCGGAGAAAGGGGAATCCTCTTACACTGTTGGTGGGAATGCAAGCTGGTGCAACCACTCTGGAAAACAGTATGGAGGTTCCTCAAAAAGTTGAAAATAGAGCTACCGTACGATCCAGCAATTGCACTACTGGGTATTTACCTCATTATAGGGTTTTCTAAGAAAACTTTTCGGGGAACACTGCTGGCTAGGTTTGAGTGATACATATACTTGAAAGTCCATAAAATGGCACAATTTAAAGCAGTATATAGTATTTTCAGAAATCCCAAATCACTTCCTTTTTCCATTTACAGATTCATGGGGCCTGGCCTTGGAGAATGTTTGCGTTAGAGAATATCATGAACAAAAAAGGCCCTTCATAGGAGTAAAGTACTGTAGCCTAATACACTTAGAATTGCTAAAGCCCAACACACAAATATAAAGTAAGGACAAACAGTTTTGTGTACTGAAAGAAAGGACTAAGGGGATCCCTAATGGGAGAAATTCTTATGGTCCAGGAAAGGGCTTGGGGCAGGATAAAATGGTAACTGAAAGAATATATTAGAGAAGAGTATAAGTACTGAGAAATTCTTTCCCCTAAAACACCGGTAGAAAAGTATACTCACTTCTTTTCTGAAAGTTTAGACCAGTAGACTTTATTTTTAAACCCCAGGAAGACAGTTCAAAGCTTATCATGGAAGTTGACATCAGAAGTGGAGGCTTATTATTAAAATTCCATTCTAAGCATGAACTGAGGACTCTTAATAACCATCTGAGCTAAAATCAAATTTTGTAGATTTTTTTCAGGTCCACCAAAAAAAGTGATATTCTAAGAAGGTTTCTATTTTATTTGAGTATAGTTTTTACATGATTGTAACAATGATTCCTATTGATTCTGGGATACAATAGGACGTATGGTACTAATCATTTCAAAAGGTATAATAACCTTCACAACAAAATTATTCCTAATTAACTAAAATTTTCCAAATGCTATATAACTTTGCTGGGGAGTTTAAACTCCCTACGTAATTGCTGAATTAAATGGGGTATATAACTACAAAGGCAGAAATTCCTGATAAAACTTGAGAGAAACTGTCCTGTCTCATAAAATACCAATACCCATGCCAAAGTTCTCAATTTTCCAGTTCTTCCTATTCAGTTAATGTGTACTAGAGAAAAAGCAGATGAACATGAATATAAATAAAAGTATATTTTTAATATCTTAAGGGTAGACTACTGGTTCCATTTAACAGGATATATAAAAGAAATATATAATGGAGTAATTACATCCTTATGTTTCGTAACAATATTATCATAGTTTGGTTCAGGGAGTGCCACCAAAAATTTCTAGTAGTCAAGTCAGATTATCATCTTACACTTAATGAGTTTTATACCAATTCTTAGAAAGAGGGGTGCCTGGGTGGCTCAGCTGGTTAAGCATCTGCCTTTGGCTCAGGTCATGATCCCTGTGTCCTGGGATCAAGCCCCTTGTCCAGCTCCCTGCTCAGCGGGAAGTCTGCTTCTCCCTCTTCCTTTGCCTCTCCCCCCAATCATGCTCTCTCTCTCAAATAATAAAATCTTTATTTACAAAATAAAATAAAAATAAAAAATAATATAAAATAAAAGCAAAAAACAATTCTTAGAAATACTAAAACATTCATAACCTGAATTGTAATGTCCGAACATTGATTCTGATTAGATGCTACATTATTAATTGACCTAAAAATTTAAGTTATAAACAACTATTTTTTTTCTCCCTACACTTCCTACTTTTCCTGTTATGATCAAAGTAATATAGACTACTACTTATTTAGTAAGTTATATATGAACCTCATGGTAACCACAAACCCCAAAACTATAAATAGATACACCAAAAATTAGGAGAAAGAAAGTCAAACATAACACTACAGAAACTCATCAATCACAAAGAAAGTAAGAAAGCAAGAGAGGGAAAAGAACTACAAAACAACCACAAAACAATTAACAAAATGGCAATAGAGATACCTAGCAATAATTACTTTAAATGCATTATGTGATTTTAATTCTTCTCCAAAAAATTAACTTGCTCAATAAATGCTAAAAATGACTACAAGTTATATCAGATGGGGCAAGTGCTTTTCTAAAAGCATTACACTTATTAATACAAATCAATAACTATTACTAAGATTGTAGAAGATACATCAGAAGTGAAAATATTACCCATTGGCATCATGTGATATTATAACGGACTCAAAAATTTTTAAACCTTGGCTCTTTTATAAACTATGCTCCTATTAACTTCATTTAGCAACTGCTTAAAGTCTTAATGGTCTTAAAAATGATGAAATGTATTCTCTATCACAATTTCTCTGCTGGCAATAATACTTAGATTTGATTGGCATTAAAGAAGCCTTAGTGCAATATATGCTTTAATTCATAGAATAAAACAGTAACACTTGAAAAAGTTTGGTGAATGGAGTGCTAGTCACAATCAGTACCACTGAAACAAAGATATCTGAAGTTCACAAGTCTGACATCACTCAACACGAAACTAGAAATACAACCACGCTTTCATTTTAGTTCTCTAAAACTTCCTGGTCAAAACAGCATCTGTCCCAAAGCAGTGAGACCCTCCCCCAAAAGAACAGTGCAGGCCCCCGCCACAGCACTTCCCTAAAGTTTGGAGTTTTAAAAGTTAGCAGGCTTGGGGTAAATACCCAGTAGTGCAATTGCTGGGTCATAGGGTAGTTCTATTTTCAACTTTTTGAGGAACCTCCATACTGTTTTCCAGAGTGGCTGCACCAGCTTGCATTCCCACTAACAGTGTAGGAGGGTTCCCCTTTCTCCGTACCCTTGCCAACATCTGTCATTTCCTGACTTGTTATAATTTTAGCCATTCTGACTGGTGTGAGGTGGTATCATATTGAGGTTTTGATTTGGATTTCCCTGATGCTGAGCAATGTTGAGCACTTTTTCAAGTGTCTGCTTGCCATTTGGACGTCTTCTTTGGAAAAATGTCTGTTCATGTCTTCTGCCCATTTCTTGATTGGATTATTTGTTCTTTGAGTGTTGAGTTTGATAAGTTCTTTATAGATTTTGGACAGTGCTCACCATAGCACATACTTTCCCTAATGTCTATCACCCAGCAACCCCATCCCTACCACTCCCCACCACTCCAGCAACCCTTAGTTTGTTTCCTGAGATTAAGAATTCCTCATTTCAGTGAGATCATATGATACGTGTCTTTCTCTGATTGACTTATTTCACATAGCATAATACCCTCTCGTTCCATCCACGTCATTGCAAATGGCAAGATTTTGGTTTTTTTGATGGCTGCGTTAATATTCCATTGTATATATAGACCACATCTTATTTATCCATTCATCTGTTGATGGACATCTTGGCTCTTTCCATAGTTTGGATATTGTGGACACTGCTGATATAAACATTGGGGTGCACGTACCCCTTCAGATCACTACATTTGGGGGGTGGGAGGGATGGGGTGGCTGGGTGATAGACAATTGGGAGGATATGTGCTATGCTGAGCGCTGGGAATTGTGTAAGACTGATGAGTCACAGACCTGTACCTCTGAAACAAGTAATACATTATATGTTGAAAAGCAAAAAAGTATGAAGGGAAAAATGAAGGGGGGGATTTGGAGGGGGAGATGAACCATGAGAGACTATGGACG